TGCTAGTTTGGAGAACCCTGGACCGAATTGAGGAGCAGGAACTGAGTCACTGTACAGACTGTGTATGTTGACGAGAGGAAGAAACACCCAATCCGGATATGAGGACATTTCAGTCTTTTCAAGATTTAGAGATTTAGAGTGTGTCACGGAAAGGTTCATCAGGGAAAGTCATCTTGTCATAACTTCATTTGTTCCGAGCAAGAAGGAGTGTGGTCAGACTGAACAGGCCAATAAAGGCCTCTGTTTCCAACTTTGACAAAGGGTTCATGTTGATGTTCAGATACATGTGGGGTTTTTTAGTTTGAGAATTATAAAATTTGCAAATGTTATCACATCATTTTCACTGATATCAAGAGCAGTTATATTTGTGGGAGGACCCCGTGGGACCTGCTGAAGGTTTCTTCCATTTCTCGCCTTAAAGCTTGATTCCTGAAAGAACGGAAGTTGTAATTATCTATATGAGGTTACTTATACCTGGCAAATGACGAAAAATGCATGTGGCTTTGAGTTCCATTTGTCATAATTGCAGCTGGATTCTTTTATATTAGTCACATACATCTTGATTTGGGCATTTAAAGTTCGTTGTGACCAACAAATGAAACTTGACAACTAGCCTAAAATGTAGTTGTCACATAAATCGATGCCCTCAAGAATCTTTAGCAATGGCATGGATCACATCTTCAAAACACAATACTTTAAACAAAAAATGTATTCAAGGAATCAACCACGAAGTCATGACAAAAACCAAACCATGTTCTCGTTTTTATCTTTCATAAAATTATTTTTACCAGTATATACTGGAAATAAAAGCAACAAACATTTTCCATATTCACAAGAAAACTATGCTAAAAGCAAGGTCAATTGTAGAATTATGACTACATCATGAGCAGGTGTTTATGAATCGCAATCAAACGGTACTGATACCAGGTGTTTGCGAGACGGTAAACTAGTAGAATATATTTCGGAGTAGGTGAAGTCAGTGCATGATTTTGTCTTTGGTAGAATGCACAAACTGAAAAGGTGGAAAGATACTAGGAATACATCCATCCTGTCCCGGCCAGCTGCCATCTAATGCTTGGCTACCCTTCATGAAAAGTATGTAGTTGTTCCCACTGATAATGCCGCAAGTAATGAAAGTGAAAGTGGTGACCATATATATTTTAACTTTTCTATCATCAAAGGAAGTTTTATCCCAAATATAACACTTGTTACATGTGACCACTTTCTAAATGGCATTGTGTGTTCATAGCTTTCGGCCACGGGAGCCGTAACAATTTACACTTGTCAGAGTGGTACACAAAGTACGTGATCTAGACCAGTTGTCGGAATTTCATTTTTGTGGAAGCCTCGGTGGCTGAGTGGGTTAGATAGCTGACTTTGTGTGCTGGCGATTAGGTGCCTCACTCTGGTGGTGTGGATTCGAATCCGGGACTGAACTCGAAGTTCGAGAATCTGTACTTTACAAAGAAAGTGTTATCCCAAATATAGCACTTATTACATTTGACCACTTTCTAAATGGCATTGTTTTCAAAAACTTGACCGCTGATGTCGACATGTGACATATCATAGAGAAGGTATTTACAAAGTTCAATAAAAAAAGTTGATAATGTGTTAACACAACCCTTAATGAGTTTCGGGGGCACGGGTGGCCCAGTCGTCTGAGGCGCCGCGATTCGCTGTGCAGAGTTGCTCCCTTGGGCTCGCCAGAAACCTATGATTGTGGGTTCGAATCCCGGTTCGCCCCGATTATGTTTCTAGCTTTGTCAGCACCATACCCGTGCTCGTGGGTTTCACCGAAGTGGTAAACGTCTGAGACCTGCATCACCTCGGACTTTCCTCCCACATTAAGCTGACACGCAGAGATATAACTGGAATACTGTTAAAAGCGGCGTTAAACCAACTCACTCACTTAATGAGTTTCACGGGAGGACCAACGGACGAGAGCAGGCCCCCGGTGATTTTGGTAACATAATCAGTCGTGTTTCGGTTTAGTGCTATACCGTAACCTATCTTCTTTGTCCTGACAAAATGACGGTTATACATCTGAAGCGCCCGTAAACGTTTTGTTACTTCACATTCCCAATAGGCCTCCATCGTCTTCTCAGCATTCACATAACGAATCATTATCAGTCAAATTACCTTTGTTTAGTTATCGTAGATATATTTCTTCATGTATATTCCAAGACGTGCCTGTCAATTATGGTTACTCATTCTTTGTTCGGTTCTCAACTAACTCAGCCCCGCTCGTGACCAGACAGTTGGATCACTGAGAACACATTTATGATATAAGATTATTCAAGCAAGCCAGAGGCAATATTGATTACGTTCTTAATTATAATAATTCACTAATAACCCTGCATATCATGTGAATCAACCCAACAATTTATGATAAAAATAAGAGTGACTAATATGATTATGTATCATTTATAATATAAACGGTATATGGAACGATTAATGCTCATACATTTCTACATCTCGAAATATGTCATCACATCTTACATGACACAGGCTAGTTTAAGCATCAACTGATGTTTATTAAAAAAATGAAACAGATATTACATATGAACAAATTTGGTTCTCCCGAACTCGTTACCCACTTAACTAATCACATAAACAAATATACATACTTGCCATTTTCAAGATTCCCACATGTAAAGTAAAACCTCTCGGCCAGATATACTGCCTCAACAGCCCTTTCTGACAGATGACCCAGTCGTCTGAGGCGCCGCGATTCGCTGTGCAGAGCTGCTCCCTTGGGCTCGCCAGAAACCTATGATTGTGGGTTCGAATCCCGGTTCGCCCCGATTATGTTTCTAGCTTTGTCAGCACCATACCCGTGCTCGTGGGTTTCACCGAAGTGGTAAACGTCTGAGACCTGCATCACCTCGGGCTTTCCTCCCACATTAAGCTGACACGCAGAGATATAACTGGAATACTGTTAAAAGCGGCGTTAAACCAACTCACTCACTTAATGAGTTTCACGGGAGGACCAACGGACGAGAGCAGGCCCCCGGTGATTTTGGTAACATAATCAGTCGTGTTTCGGTTCAGTGCTATACCGTAACCTATCTTCTTTGTCCTGACAAAATGACGGTTATACATCTGAAGCGCCCGTAAACGTTTTGTTACTTCACATTCCCAATAGGCCTCCATCGTCTTCTCAGCATTCACATAACGAATCATTATCAGTCAAATTACCTTTATTTAGTTATCGTAGATATATTTCTTCATGTATATTCCAAGACGTGCCTGTCAATTATGGTTACTCATTCTTTGTTCGGTTCTCAACTAACTCAGCCCCGCTCGTGACCAGACAGTTGGATCACTGAGAACACATTTATGATATAAGATTATTCAAGCAAGCCAGAGCCAATATTGATTACGTTCTAAATTATAATAATTCACTAATAACCCTGCATATCATGTGAATCAACCCAACAATTTATGATAAAAATAAGAGTGACTAATATGATTATGTATCATTTATAATATAAACGGTATATGGAACGATTAATGCTCATACATTTCTACATCTCGAAATATGTCATCACATCTTACATGACACAGGCTAGTTTAAGCATCAACTGATGTTTATTAAAAAAATGAAACAGATATTACATATGAACAAATTTGGTTCTCCCGAACTCGTTACCCACTTAACTAATCACATAAACAAATATACATACTTGCCATTTTCAAGATTCCCACATGTAAAGTAAAACCTCTCGGCCAGATATACTGCCTCAACAGCCCTTTCTGACAGATGACCCAGTCGTCTGAGGCGCCGCGATTCGCTGTGCAGAGCTGCTCCCTTGGGCACGCCACAAACCTATGATTGTGGGTTCGAATCCCGGTTCGCCCCGATTATGTTTCTAGGTTTGTCAGCACCATACCCGTGCTCGTGGGTTTCACCGAAGTGGTAAACGTCTGAGACCTGCATCACCTCGGGCTTTCCTCCCCCATTAAGGTGACACGCCGTGATGCAACTGGAATACTGTTAAACTCTCACTCACTCACTTTGTGGCAGATGCTGGTCACTTGCAGTTGCCCTCCATTTTATGAGAAAAGGTTAGTGCAGTGGTTAACGTAGGCTAATTGTCATCCGATGGCCACTATTGTAAGGGGAAGGCTGCTATATGACACGATTCCGTTTAGTTTATTCAGAACTCCAGGCCATCTGTCCCATAGTACATTACATATATCTAACATTTATAGGTGCATATTAATATCTCCTTTGATCCAAAGAACCTTGTACAAAAAGTTTGACAACTTAATCAAATATGGCGAATTTAAAGATGTACATAAGTTTGCTGCAGCCAATATAGAATTAGAACTATCTGTATATTCTTGCAAGTACACATTATGTTCTACTGCATAACACGGGCAATAAAATGATACATGACTTTATCTTCTATCACATAATAGTTTTTACACAAGATTTCAGGATCATATAATTCACATTTACCTTTACAGAAGTTTGGTATACCAAGATAATTCATATAATCTTAACAAAGCTTGTTGATAACATACAGAGCTAATATCTGTTAAATATAGTTCACATTCAAATATAGATTTACATTAAGAGTAGAATTCAAGAGATGTACGGTCACAGAGAGTTAACTGACTTTAAAAGTCTTGTTTTCACCCTTGCCGAACTTGGCTGGGATTACTGGGCTTGATCGTAGCGCCACCAGTCATGTCCCTTCTAAGCCTCTCCTATGGACCAATCTGATTCACTTGCGTTTACTTCACACAAAATGGTGGCGCTCAGTCAAGACGATCTGATCCATAATCAAGATCTATATTGTGATAAAACGGGTCTTACATCGCGAAATGCATCAAATCACGTGAGCACCTTGATTAAAAACATGAAAAGATTTGGAAAATATCTGCTGACAACAAGTTGGCGGTGCACATGCTTTTGCAAATCCTGCAATCGACCGAAATCTACACGACAGTATACGAACCAGATTTCGATTTCGGTGTACGATTTTGATTGGACTATGCATACACTCGTTAGTCCAGCCAAAATGTACCTCCATAATACAAGCCTAGTTCGGCAAGGGTGGAAACTTGGACTTATATAGTCAGTTAACTCTCTTGCCTCGGGAAGATGTAGGCCACCAGAGTTCAAGACACAGACCAGACGATTTGAAATCGTCTGCATGCTCGGCGATCACGTGTTGTACTACCTCTAGCAAATCGACATATTCTGTCCAGACGCAAATGGTGTTTAGAGCGTAGAAACTTGGGGAATTGCCAGTGGTCTCGTGTAATCTTTACTTTCTGGACAGCTGTGGGCGTGTCTCGAAGCGTCCTAACGAACGTCATGCGAACAATAAAAGTAAGGCAGCATGACACATTTGGGGGTGGGTCTGTATATGATATGGGGTGGGATCACTATGAGTGCTAGAACGCCACTGCATATTGTCCATGGAAGGGTCAGTACTACCGAGACAACATACTGGCGACAATAGCTGTGCCGTTTGCGCGCCATGCTGGTCCACATTTTGTCTTTCAAGACGATATCGCTGGTGTCCATGGGACACGCACAGTAACTCACCAGACATCACCAGAATGCAATGGTCATTTCTGACCTTTCCCTCATAGAGCGCGTCTGGGACATGACGGGAGACTTGACGTCGACGTCAAAGACCATCCGTTACTTAAAGCCGTCAAGTGCTGTAAGAGGAGTTCAAATGTCATTGAGAGATTGAATCGGACTACACCACACCCTATAAACGAATGTTGCGTGAGGGCAAGACCCATAATTGATCAAGTAATCTCAAACGTTCATTATTCCACACACAGCCTTGTCGTTTTTCTTCGTTGTGTGCACCCTCACATGCTCTGTTGATGGTCATGTTACACCATGCCCTTCCCTTTTCTTAACCATCCTTTACCACTACTCGACATCTCTTTGTATTTGTTATAATCATCTGATATTCTTGAAGATCCTGTACGTTTTATAGAGAATACATTTAATTTTCTTAGCTTGTCAACGCAATGTATCGCTCAGTCAGAGTGAGTGAGTATGGTTTTACTTTTAGCAATATTCCAGCAATATCACGGCGGGGGACACCAGAAATGGGCTTCACACATTGTACCCATGTCGGGAATCGAACCCGGGTCTTCGGCGTGACGAGCTAACGCTTTAACCACTAGGCTACCCGACCGCCCCCGCTCAGTCAGAAATCAATAAATATTTTGTTCAGTGACTATGGTGGATTGTGTGCAAAGTAAACAATGTGATGCCATTGACTACAGTGATACGTGGTGTTAACGTTGTGTTGGTTGTGCATGTATCTCTAGATCAGGAGCTGTGGTATCATGTTTAACCTTTGAACCACTGCCGACTTCGCCATAAGAAACCTGTCAGAAGCTATATAGAAACCCGCCGTCGCAAACCTTTGATCAACAGAGCTCAAGGGTATTACATCTCGTCAGCCTACAAATATAAGGTATAGAAGCAACACAGAACATACAACAATATAGGCCAGTAAAACGGAGAACCTAAGTCATAATTAAAGCTTAAAACGCCAGAGCTTAACATTGTTTAAAACTAATATGCTAACGGGGGTCTTTAACCTTTAAATGGAACTGCTGCAACGAGATATCACCGTTTAGAGAATAACTAGAATATGCAAAGTATACAAAAAATTATAAGTCGTCTACAATTTTACTGAACTACTGAAAGTGAGTTAAACACTACTTGGCCAATTTTACTACGACTGGTGCCCGTACGCATATATTTTCCAGTACAGCAATTCGCTTGACAGCCAGCAGGAGTTGGGTTGTTTCGCTCATCAGGAGGTATTCTTTATGATTGACGATCGCAGATGCATCCAGCTCCTGGCTTCCAAAAACGGACTTTACATCATTTCCTCCAAAGGTCAAATGTGAAGCCATGTCGGTGACCCGTGTCAACAGAACCTCCAAATGATATTTGTCAGCCAGATATATGTAATGAACAAGCTCTTTACAGTAGGTGGAGTTACTTGAAGTCATCACGTTGCACTGGTACAATAAAAAACGTTCGCATTTCTGTGTCAGTGCCGTCATCTTGTATTCGTCAGCCAGGCCCAGCAGCTTGTCCACCTTTGATCGTGTGATGGATTTCAGTTCTGATGGGTATATACGGAGAAGCATATCGACGACATCCGCATAGGATTTATCAGGTAAAGGAATCTCGTTCTTCTCCTTGAATTCCCCCTCAAACATTTTTTCGAACACGACTGATGCAGCCACAAGGACACCTCTGTTGACATGGAGTTGCCTCCCTTCGACCGCTAATGTCATGTCGGATGTACTTGAGGGCTTATCGAAAACTGACGTTGTGATTTCCTGCTCTGCTTCACTTTGTCCCATAGAGCACACAGCCTCCGCCCTTTAATGACACACAATTATATGATTGTAAATTTCATATAATAATATAACTTCCAACGTATAAACAATTATTAACGAAATATAAACAATATGAACGAACGAGATGATATGGGCCCGTAATTATTAACATTCTCTTAAGTTTAATTTTGTTTCTTTGTTGTTTAACGCCGCACTCAGCAATATTCCAGCTATATTACGGCGGTCTGTAAATAATCGAGTCTGGACCAGACAAGCCAGTGATTGACATCATGAGCATCGATCCACGCAATTGGGATATGATGGCATGCATCAACCAAGTCAGCGAGCCTGACCACCCGATCCCGTTAGTCGCCTCTTACGACAAGCATAGTCGCCTCTTACGACAAGCATAGTCGCCTCTTACGACAAGCATGGGTTGCTGAAGACCTATTCTATCCCGGATCTTAAAGGGTCCTTAAATTTCATTAGGTTGGTGGGGTGAAATGTAGTTTAACGTCGCGTTCACGAGTATTGCACTTTTATAGCAACGGTGTTGTTTGTTTGTTGTTTAACGCCGCACTCAGCTATACAACAGCTATATGACAGCGGTATGTAAATAATCGAATCTTGACCAGGCAATACAGTGATTGATATCATGAGCATCGATCCACGCAATTGTCGTAAGGGGCGACTACCGGGATCGGGTGGTCAGGCTCGCTGACTTGATGCTCATGATATCATTGTGATTCACTTATCTTCTCCTGACATTCAATGCAAAGTGATGTTACAGTTCGACTACCTCACGAGGGATATTAACATATTTTCATTCATTGCCTGAAAAATTAGACTGGATTTTAGACAGATAGACTGACAAGAATTAACACTCTTTCTGTCATAAGCGCGCGTAGGTGAGAAATCAGATTGAGCTGGTGAAGCTCCGATATAAGGAAACACATTGAGAAATGTCCCGTACATGGGACTGCTGTAAATTGGTTTATAATAGTCGTATACAGGAAAATCCTTTTGTCATATACACTGACATAAACTAAACGATACTACCACTCTTCAGGTAGAGAGGTTGGATTATTTTTACGAGGTGTTTTACAAGCATATTTACACCCGTTACAATCTGTACCGAAGGCTTCAAGTGTAGGCCCACTTACAATGTGTATAACCTCCCACAGCTGACAGAGGGGTATAGCTTAAACACCGCTACAAAACAACACCAAGCGATGATGCCTCCTTACTTGGCGACTCACCAGTTCAAATACAGACGCATAAAAGTGAGTGAGTCATATAACGTTTAACGTCACATCGGCAATATTTCAGCCATATCGTGACGAACAGACGCATAAAAAGACGCAGATACAATGCAGAACATATGTTGGAACATATTGTGACCATGTTGTTCTTTTAGCATCACCATGTACATCTTAAGAAAGGGATAAATTGTTTCGCAGGATATTGTACAATCTGGAAATTATCGATAAATATACAGAAAACGAAACTTCTTGTATTTGGTGATACTAATCGTGATAAGAGAAAACACATAATCCTAAACATGTCATTAGAATATGTTGACGAATATACGTATCTGGGTGTATTATGTACTTAAGTGTTAAAGACATATCCCCGAGGCAAGGGAGTTAACTGACTATAAAAGTCCAGTTTCCACGCTTGCCGAGCAAGGCTGGAATGCCAAAATGTAACTCCATAATACCAGCCTAGTTCGGCAAGCGTGGAAACTGGACTTTTATAGTCTTGCCTCGGGAAGATGGGTGAAAAACTTGAGTCTTCTGAAGTTGAGAAAAGTGATATTTTCATTGCAGTGAACACAACACTTGATATTTCACTGCAGTTAACATGACACTTTCACGGAACTATTGTCATACAAGAGTTACCTCCCCTCCCCTTATCGTGTCTGGTCCGAACACAAACTGTTGACTTCCTTTTAGCGCGAGTTCCACATTGACAAAGCAAAATAATGACAGATGGTCATTTATGGCGTTAATATTTCTTCTTGCTGTTTGTTATTCTCTTAAAAATGTTTGGTTATGAATTATCAATTTCTCATTTAACTCGTCAATCGAGACTGTTCGTTTCGCAAAGCGCCATTTTATTACTTGACCAGCGTGTATTCCTTCGCTTTCAAGAATATTTTAGAATATATTATATTCAAGTTGATGTTTATATAATCATATGTAAATGTTTCGTAAGGAATTTTCGTGACTTTAATATTTATTGATGCTTTTGTATATATTTTTTAAGATTTTGCAAACACGAAACTACTTTTTAAGTCGCAAATACAAGGGGTGATGAACGGTCCCTGTGTGTTAGGTAGGGAGAATTTACGTTTCAAGGTTTTACATTTATAATGAAATATATTAATTTTTTTTCAACTACACTAAAAGTATATTATTAATAGGATATTCCATGTGTCGAGTGAAATATTATGATTCTCTCATCTCGTGACGGGGGAAAAGGAGATATTTTCACGAGTGGTATAATTGTTGATAGAACTTGCAAAAAAATGCCTATCCAGTATATGCTAGCAAGTTACCAACATGACTTAGGCAATGGATTTTGTTTTACGTAAAATACGAATCTTTTTAACGCCATGGTCAAGCCTGTTCTACTATATGGATGTGAACTATGGGTTTTGTTAATATAAAACATAATTAATTAAACTTGTACATATTAATTTTATGAGGAAATTTTATCAGTTACCCACCCGCTGTTTGTGTTAAGACAAGCTTAAGTATGTTGACATTCTAGACTTTCTGGTCGAAACTAAAACTAAGTAAATCCACAAATGTATCATGGATTTCTCCTCTGTTGTACATAGATACTGCAGCACAACTATTTACGTTGGTAAATGGTTCTCCGATGTAAATGATGCTTTAAATGATGCAGGTAAGCTATGTATGGTTATCGCAATCATATATTTCATCTTCGTGGCTTTAAACACTGATTACGCTGAGAAAAGTTGGAATGCGTATATTTCACTTTCAAGTAAAAGTTCAAACTACTCGTTAACGAAATCTGAATTTAAATTGGATTTTTGAAAAAGGTTTATTCAAGGGTTTTTTTGCAATAAAGAGAGTACCGCCGTACTAATCCACCAGGGGCGTGCGTGTACTAGAAGTTATACTCTGTGACTGTTCCGCGATTAGAATGCGCTGCGAATCATTTAGCGCGAATTACAAGTAGAGCCGTAGCCAAGTTTATGTGAACATGGCCAGCCAGTACCTGCTGTGGTCACTGCCAAAACTCAAATGTGCGCTCTTTCAACGAAAGCCTTCGACAGTTGGAAAGAAACTTGAACTGATCGAGAGGTATGTAACCCATTTTTTTATTTATCAAGTATGCTTACATTCATAATCTGCGATATGCACCGCAATTTCTACAAGGCCTTTTTCTTGCCTGTCAAATGAGCGCCATCCCTGTCACTATCCAATCTCATTAAAATGATATCTTAGTTCTCGTTATCGCTAAACAAAGATCTTTGTTTAGCGGCAGCGAGAACTGAGATCTGATTTTAATGAGATTGATTTGAACTTCGCATGCCGGAGATTTCGGCCAGAGATTAATACAAGTTCTGTTCTATTGAATTTATTTGGAAAAGTTCATGTGGTTTGATTGCTGTTAAATCGGAAAATATAATCTTTATTGAATATATGTATACACAATGGTAAATTAATGTTTGTGTATACATAACGAATAACATATATGCTGCAATCTCGTCAACGAAATCTGTTGCCAATTTAGCCAACTTGGAGCCGTTTTTACCAGGCAATGTTGCTGGTTGCTGATTTGCCCCCGTGCCGTGTTATCCAGTTTGAAGCTATTTATAGTGGCACGTTTGTTTTAAGTAATTCAAATCCGTTTTCGTTATATATTGAGTCACAAACATTGTGACATAAATCCACCTTGCATTTAATTATTACACTAATTACACACTGCCAGTATATCAAATCCACACAGGACACAATAATATAGAATTACATGGTACAGCTGCTATGGCACGGGAAAATCACTGTGATGTATACTCCATTAGTATATGGTTTATTTATAATGATGTAGTTAACAAGTGTAGAGTTTACTGAACAGAATCAACAAAGCATCAGCTGCAGGGACTCTACACAATCCTTATGGGATCCCTCGTGGCAGTGAATAGACTATAATAGACAATTTGTACTCACTTGACATTTGATGACGCGCCGAAATTGAATCCTGTTGCAATTTGACCTTGTGCAGACGTTAAACCAAACAATGGAGTGTTGCCTCTTATAGACATCATAGCTATCTCGAGATTAATCACCTGCTCAGGTACTGTGCATTTACTCTGTTTTACTTCCGGTTTGTTGCAGAATGTGATGTTGAATTACCGCCCTTTACAAGCACAACTTTCGTTTTAAGTCACACTCAACCACAACACAATAAATCACCATGTTCTAAAGCCTTGCTCAAATTCATACATACACGCTGTCTAAATTCGCTATGTTTCATTTTGTAACGTTCAATTTCTACCCACCATTGAGAAATTAACCGGTTCTGTTTTCAACTTTGAAAATGAACCCAAACAATTGAATAATAACCCTTATCATTGAAAAATGAACCGGCTTATTTTCCAGCGCTTATAGTGCCTTCGGGTTCTTAATTCAACGTTGAATAATGAACCTAACATAAAAACTGTGAAATCGAATCATGACCCGCATCAAACTTCAACACAAACATGTAATCGTCTCACAAATTAGGGCTGAACAAATATCCATAATTGAACATTGCTTAATCCTCCTGAACTTAGTCTGCCTCGCTACGTGGGGGCGTGATAGCGCTTCTGCCTGCTGACCAAGTGGTCCCGAGTTCGATCCCGCCAAGGGGCCTCGGTATCTTCTCTGCGGTGAAGAACAGTTCTACACACATTGAGGTGAGGTGAGGTGAAATTGGGTTTAACGTCGCGTCCAAGATTATTGAACTATTGCAAGTTATAGCATGCACGTGCGTGTGGGTGGGTGGGTTTGTGGGTGTGGCTGCTTTGTACTAGTCCGGACTAATACCGATTTATAGTGCTAGCTCACTGAGATACCATGCCGCAGTTTAACATGAATACCCCACTTAGACACAGTATACGGACTCCGAGCCGACCAGTCCTTGTGTTAGCCTCTTAATGCCGAGCGCCAGATAGGGTAACAACAAGTACCATCTTTTAACGTCTTTTGGTATGACGCGGCCGGTGATCGAACCCCGGAGCTTCCGCTCTCCGGGCGGACGCTCTACCACTAGACCACGGAGGCGGTCTTACACACATTGAGGATAGTGTGCAATGCTGCAGTGCGACGCAGTACAGTATCACCCTTGGTTCGCCAGTACCAGCCGATGCTCGCTGGTTTTACTGCAACACATAGCGGCGTGAAACCCCAACACCATGGCGTTGCAGGCTTTCATCCTACCCTTACATGCACTGGCCGCCGTGATATGACTGAAACACTGGTAAGCGGCGTTAAACCCCAACTCACTCACTCAGTCTTCGTTATTTACGGGGGGGGGGAGGGGGGGGAACTAATAAAGAGTAATTGTCAGTTTTAATGAGGGGGGGGGGGGGGGGGGGATTTGAAGCCCTTACGAATCTTTTAAATTAGATTAAAACTTTGTGTAAACATAATAATGAACATTCTTCTTTAAGGGGGTGTGAGTGAGTGAGTTTGGTTTAACGCCGCTTTTTACAGTATTCCAGTTATATCGCGGCGTGTCAGCTTAATGTGGGAGGAAAGCCCGAAGTGATGCAGGTCTCAGACGTTTACTCTTCTTTCAGGAGAGAGTGAGAGTGAGAGAGACGTTTGAGGCCGTTCTGACATGGGGCCGTTTTGAATCGCTCCAATAATAACTGTAGTGCGGAGGCTTCTTTGTGAAACGTGGCCCCGACCTTCAGCAATGCATCCACCCTAAATGCGCGTGGAACTCATTTCCACTGCTGAGAAGATACCAAGCCGTATAATAATATAGACCTACAAGTCGTATGTGTAGGTTGATGACAAAAATTAATAAAAATCAACCCCCAGGAAGTAAGTCACCATGACCTACTCTTGGGGCAAAAGAAAGTAAACATGGCTTTTGTGGTGAAGCTGAAAAGTGAAGGAAGTTTTCATAATTTTGATTGTGTCTGACTAATCATGAAACATTTCTGCAACAGTTTGCTCACAAAAACCCATGGTTGGGTGATTTGAGGAGGTAAATAATGAAGACTGGGGTAAGAAATGAGATATACACCAAAATGATCCCTACCGTGTCTAAAGTGGTTTTCACAGGTAAGAGGTCCAATATGTCCAGTAGCAATCAAATTCTGTATACCTCGGCTGGAGTTGTAATCATGGTTATAAACTCTACCACCAATGTAAAAATATCTGTTTTGGCAGAACCGTGTGCTGACGTTTATTGTTTTGCATCTAGGGAGTGATAGACAGTGTGTCTGTTGGAATGAACTTGGGTATAATTTGAACATTAAAAAGAACAACCCGATCAAATAGTAAACATTAAATAATTATGCGCGTCAAATTTCAACGTTGAAAAAGTACCCGGGTCAATATTCAACGGACCCGTGAAGATCCGGGGTAGAATAGGTCTTCAGCAACCCATGCTTGCCGTAAAAGGCGACTATGCTTGTCGTAAGAGGCGACTGACGGGATCGGGTGGATTGGGTATCCCAATTGCGTAGATTGATGCTCATTATACCAATCACTGGATTGTCTGGTCCAGATTCGATTATTTACAGACCGCCGTCATATAGCTGGAATATTGCAGAGTGTTGCGTTAAAAAAAAAACAAACTAACAAACAATATTCAACGTTGAAATAGTAACCGGCTCATAATTCAACAGGGGGTACTTTTTCAACGTTAGGGTGGGTTATTTTGCAACGACCCGGTTCATTTTTGAACCGTTGAAAAATGACTCGATTGTTTTGAAATAGGAACCGGTTAAAGATATTCGACGTTCATTTTTCAACGTTATACCGGAAAAAAATGGGAAGTTAGTCCCGTCAACAAAATATGTTGTTAGTCCCCTCAAATATATTAAAGTACATGACGAGTTGATTGAAAACTTTGAACCACTTCGAAAATGTCCGAGCTTAATTTTTGGAATAATTTCAGTGCAACGACCATGATTTCGAAAATGATTGGACTTTCGATATGTGCGATGGTCCACTCATATTGTAACACAGAACTGGGTTGAAACGGGAAGGGTAGAAACTAGACTTGATGGAGGCAACTGGACACGCTTGCCTCGGGAAGATGAGTTCGATAAAAAAAATTGTGTTGTTGGTGCCCTCAACACATCAGCTGAACATTGGTGCCCTCAACACAATGTGCTGTCTGTGCCTCAATCACAATGTGTTATTGGTTTCTTCAACAAATCTGCTATTGATTTCCACAACAAAACGTGCTGTTGATCCCCTTTACAAAATGATTAGCTCCTCCTATTCAGAGAAGATGCTGTATGTCTGAAAGCAATGGCCGAATTCTTTATGTTGTAACAAAAGTCCAAGCGCCTAGTTAAATATAAGTTGTAATGTTGTTTTAAATTACAGCTTTCATAAAGCTTTCCCGATTTCAAGTCATAGTTTGTTGATAGGAATAATTGAATCAAGATACAGTTGGAGTGAGTGAGTATAGTGTTACGCCGCTTTTAGCAATATTCCAGCAATATCACGGCGGGGGACACCAGAAATGGGCTTCACATATTGTACCCATGTCGGGAATCGAACCCGGGTCTTCGGCGTGACGAGCGAACGCTTTAACCACTAGGCTACCCGACCGCCCCAGATACAGTTGGAATCAAGGCATGGCATCAAATGTTAAGCGGTTTGATTGGCCGGTTAATGTTCAAGTGAGTGAGTGAGTATGGGTTTACACCGCTTTTAGCAATATTCCAGCAATATCACGGCGGGGAACACCAGAAATGGGCTTCACACATTGTACCCATGCCGGGAATCGAACCCAGGTCATCGGCGTGATGAGCGAACGCTGTGCTATGCAAAGGCATTTTTCAAACCAAATAAATGTTTTAATCAATAAGTGTAGTGTTACCACATTATAGTGATTAGAATTGAAATGATGTGCAAAAAAGATAGTTCACTATTTTCCCTTCTAATGACCTTTATGTAAACACATCGGGTACAAAGTCAAGGACGAAAGTAATTAAGGGACGTTATTCTAAATGACAATGATCGAATAGGAGGCGTTCAGTATTTAAGATGCTTGTTCAGGTCTGAGGTAACTTGATATATGCTGGGTCAGTTTCACAATTCCGCTTGTTTTTGTGTTTATGTCAAAAGTCAAGTTTATAGAGAAATCACTAACATTATACCTGGAAACACTCATAACAAAAATTGTTCAGGAAGCATCCGCGAGCGAGTTACAATGACAATGTAAATTTATTTTGTTATTTACATATCAAATATGTTGCACGAATAAACAAAGGACTCAAATACAATATCAAGCAATTTGTATTTGGGTGATCTATTTTTTAAAAACCTATCTAGATCCATAATTCTTTTCAAAATTTGAAAGTGACGCTTTCGTTCACAATGGGAGATAATTTAGGAATTATCAAGTTTATGCCACAAGTTAACGTAAACATACATTTCATGTAGTCCTTTTCTGTCCTTTTAAATTAAGTAGAGCTAATAAACTGATTTGTCTGATTTGAAATCTGGCTTTGGGGCGAAATATGTACATTGTCAATGTGTAAAATCTATTCCAGAACGTAGTTCGATGACGCCTGGCTTGTCTGACAGCATGGCTGAGGGTCAATTAATAGTCCGGTGACCGTATCCTTTACAATGACATTATTATTTGAATGGTCTCAAGTATCTATATTTTATGAATATTAAACGGATAAATGTATACTTAAATTTTAAAAAGACCAACATCAATTATTATTTTAAAAACGGTCCATTGAATGCAAAATTCAATGAATATTGTGGTGAAAATGTCTATTTTATATTGATCAGTAAATTTCATTCAATAATCATTTTCTGCGAAAATATATTGGAAAGTGAATTTTGGACACTGTTCAAAATACGTTACTTCTTTACGACATTTTAAACCCAAATGAGCATAGGAACCCATTTATTACTTGATTTTTCAAATCGCTATTCTCGACAATACGATACGAAAATATGTGCTTAACATTTGCTCTCAAAATATCAATAAATTGCTATATTTAATGGAATATATCCATGTGGTTAATCACCTGTTTTTAAAGAATGCAATTATTCAATAGACAATATTTTATCATTCATCAAATATTTGTCTTTCAGTAATATAAATAACCTAGGAGTTGCTTTGAAAACGAAA